CATCATCAGATTTAAAATTCACACAAACTCATAATTGGTAAACATTCTTTTAGGTCTTGCAGGACTGCAAAGACCTAAAAGAATGTTTACCAATTATGAGTTTGTGTGAATTTTAAATCTGATGATGGCGCTGTTGTCTCGCCGAAACGTAATGAAATAAACGATATTCTTTTTACTTCACACTTTGACTGAGACCCAGGAAAGATAAGAATATAATAACAATATTTAATTTTCGCAGAAAATAGTGCATTTTTCAATACCACTCCTAACTATTTCTTCATACTTAACTAGCCGGAAGAGTGGTCTTGCAGGACTGCAAAGACCTAAAAGAATGTTTTCCAATTATGAGTTTGTGTGAATTTTAAATCTGATGATGGCGCTGTTGTCCCGCCGAAACGTAATGAAATAGACGATATTCAAATTTTTGTTTCACACTTTGACTGAGACCCAGGAAAGATAGGAATATCAGAACAAATACACGCAGTCAGGAAAATCAATCAGAATTATGCTCAAAAAATGGTGAGAGCAAAAGTGTTTTATTGCAACGAACACCTTTTTCGAACCACCTTTTAGTAACAGCAACAGGATTTTAGTTACTTTGTGCCGAACAGTAATTTCCCTAAACTGGAAAGAGGAAAGACGAAATTGCTGTGTTTTTTATGATCGTTGTTTCTCTGCGAAAAGGGTCAGTTTTTGATTATTTTAAATAAAAAATAATTATTGTGGGTTTTTAAAGCATTTAATTAATTGATTTTTTTAAAGCCGCTGTACGAACGCAAGATCTGCATCTGCTGTATTTGACCTGCATTTTTCTGTACCTGCATCTTTTGTCTGCATCCCGTTTCTTAATTCACATTTATGGCTTTGTTTCCATTCACCCTGATGCGAAAAATTGATGAAAATGAATGAAAGCCAATGCAAAAATACATTAGCGGTCTGATCAAAATTAGCTAATTAAATGCGATATAAACATCGAAAACTTAATAATTCTTAAACTCAAGAGTGATTTACAAATTGTTATACCGAAAAAAATGTTTCGAAAATGGTCAAAATCAATCGATTGAGCTTAACCAATGGAGCGATAGTTGAAAACGGAAAAATAAAAAAACAGCAGTCGGGTTTAGGCGAAAGTTTAGTTTCAGTTTTGTGTTTGTGTCTCTCTATAATCTGTGCGAACAGTAGCAGTTTTAGATTAATGCGAATACGAAAAAATTGTTAAGTTTGTTATGTTTATATTTCATTGAATTAACTGATTTTGGTCAGAAATTTTCTCAAATGACATCTGCAGCCTCCAAGATTTTAGCTCTCAGATTGATTAGAAAAATAAAGCCATAAATTTGAAAGGTCCAAAAAAATTGACAAGTTTTCTTGTAAATCGGTCTCTTAATTTTTTTGCATAAAAGATTCAGTTTGCCAGTATTTAACAGTAAAACGTTAGGAAAAACGCGGTTTTTTCGTTTAGAGACAGTGTTGTTTAGAAATATTGATCTAAAAGTGAAAAAACTCCCAATAAATGATTATAAACTTTCGCTTTTCCATTTTTTTTTAGGCGAAACATTTTTGGAAAAATATCTTATCTAGATTAATATCTGGTCTTTGCAGTCGTGCAAGACCTAACAGAATGTTTACCAATTATGAGTTTGTGTGAATTTTAAATCTGATGATGGCGCTGTTGTCTCGCCGAAACGTTATGAAATAAACGATATTCAAATTTTTGTTTCACACTTTGACTGAGACCCATAAGAATATCAGAACAAATACGCGCAGTCAGGAAAATAAATCAGAATTATGCTCAAAAAATGGTGAGAGCAAAAGTGTTTTTTGCAACTCAGATTTTCAGAATCTGTCCGAAACCCATCCTGGGTTGCTATTGTGCTTGTGAAAAACCCAAAAACCTGAGCTTCTACCAAGTTCTTCGTGACTGAACATCAGTTTTGAAGCAAACTTTGTCATTGATTTTCGGAAAAACTCAGCCTTGTTTGAATTTGAAATGGAAAGACTGGCGTTTTGCTCTGGAGTCTGAGGAGAACCGAAAAACTGTTCAGATGTCGGATTGAAACCGTAAAAAACTGGCCAAATTGACATTGTTATCCAGTTTTTGCTTCATGCGTTACTAATAGTTCATATAAATCCGCCTCAGCTTTGATTGGTAAATAAACACCTTCGATGGTTGCGAAGAAGATCAGCATATCCATTCCGACGTGTTTGGGCTTAAAAGTGTTCAAGTGCACCAAAGTGGAAGGGTCCGAGTTGAAAGAGRGATGATCGTCAATTTTGGCGTAATAGTCTCCTTTGCAGGCCTGCAATTTACCAACATTAACTCTTGTAAACGCATTCATCGACGAATTTTAATTGYTTTTTACAAACCTCTTTTTGGGTATTTCGCCTCAACATTTTTATATGGAGTATAGAAGAAACAACTCGAAATTTACCTGAAGAGCAACAGGGAGGATTTCGTATACGATCAAAAATAATTCTAGGAAAACCTTTCAAAATTAAACAGAACATAAGCTCAATAGAGCAAAAAGCATTAATGTCCTTAAGAAAAGATAAGGCAATCAAAATTTTGCCTGCTGATAACGGTAATGCGACCGTCATTATGGATTATAATATCTATGATCAAAAAATTAATGAACTTTTAAATGACAAAAGTTATTCAAAATTAATCAAAAATCCAACAGAACGTTTTGAAAGGCACACTTTAAAAAAATTTAAACATGAATTCACAGATTACGTTAGATCAAAATGAACACCACATTTTTACGGAGTTCCAAAAATTCATAAAGTTAGTATTCCTTTACGACCAA